ATTGGTTACATTGGTTACTAGTAATTTTTATAACATGATCCATCTTTAAACTCATATCGACTATTAATGAGAACTTCTTTCAAGATTTACAAGAACTCAAACAGTCTAACATAATTATGTATTACAGAATTATACCTATCATATTATCCATACATAATATGGCAATTCAATATTGAACAAAAGTACATGTTTAAGTAACAATAAAGAAAATCAGTACTTTTTCTAGAAGCCATACATATTATTATTGACAATGACCAAGTAAACCATCCAATTGTATGAAATAAATAAACAGAAGAAGAAAATAAAGAATCGGGAAATTTCATTCAATCACAAAATCTTTTGGACTACATGTCACAAATGCTGTTTTCCATTACATATATATACAATTATGTAATATATTATCATCCCATTAAAACTAGAAAGTACAGTATGTAAAATGGTCATACTGTAGTGTGTGTGTGTGTGCATATGCACACACACACACACAAGCACACAAACATTGGATAAAAAAAGATCGATCGATCGTAAGCTAAAGGCTAAAAAAATTAATATATTATAATCCACACATTTTTAACATCACATTAACGTTGTGTATATCATCATCATATGATTGTGTAAATTTGTCATGAATCATATGATTTTCTTTCGAGAAAAAAAAATTAATTGAATAAGATCGAGTGAAATAAAGTTTTGGTAAAATTGATTCAATCAGGGAAATAAAAAATTGATCCGATCATTAAATCTATAAAATTTTAATTCTTCTAGAAAAAATAAGAAACAAAGTGAGTGTTTGAACGAACAATTGATCTAATTAATAATTTATTTGATGTTTAATAAGATTACAGGTACACCTTAATGATGAGTGACAAGTAGCACGAAACCCCTGGTTCAGGCTTTCCTGTTGACCACCTCCAACCACCATCTTATCTCAATGTAGTGCATGGAGTGTTGAGCCACCTAGACTAGTGACCACATTGCAACTTGATCGATAGCATTCGATCAGCACTAAGACGAACTTGACACGGATGACAATGATCATCACCCAGTGATTAATCAATTGTGATGTTTAACAATCTACACAATTCAATAATTGGTTATTTGAAGGGAATAAATATTAAAACTTCCGATGTTCTCTATAGTACTTTCAATAAAAAACTTAAGCGAAACTAAAATGTTTCAGTATACATTACTCATATATATACTTAGTTAGTAAGTCCCCAAAAGACGTGGAAAGCTTAATGTGGATATGATCAACTTTATGGTTTCAAGTTAATACAGTCATTTCGCATTTCACAAACATAATCACAAATTCAATTTAACTCTTAATTCTTACATTTTGAAAATCCTTAACATAATGGATTTCTTGTAACATCATAAACAATTTATACATAGAAAAATGTCTATAGATACTATTAATGTTTCCATGATTAGAACTATTTTCACCGCTTTTTAAAATGACATTAAAAGCAAGCGTCTACTCTAACAATATTATTGTAGTAAATAGAACACTAGTTGGGACAATCGAATATGTTTAGGCACAAATTACAAACTATCTTACTAAGATCTGATAACCATACAACAAACAGTTAATTTGCAAAATAACAACCAATTGTCTCAATCTTTACTCTTCCTTTTGTAAATATCAGATCATCTTCTCTAATTTCATTGTTCATGCATTTTCCTACCAATTGCGCTTCATTTTAGTTCTTTCCTTATTGATCTTCTGCCAAAATACATTCTATGTCTGACCATCACCATATACTATTGATGTGGATATAAGCAGACCACACCACATTATGACGGAAACAATGAACTGTTATTCTTTACGCTTTAAATAATTATCCTTGAACATTTTTATATCATTAAATTAGACAAATTCATAAACTTTTGATTAGGAAATTAGTAAAATAAAAACTAATAACAAAGTCTAGTTATTTTTTTTCAACTATCGGCATGATATCATAGTCTTTTCGGTAAACACATACACATACTGAAAATAAAGAACTATTAAAAGAAATAACATACGTACATATACATGTAGTAACGTATACCATGTAAATGTTGTAAGAAGATCAATTTGAATACAGTGGAATAGAAAAATTTAAACTATTTTATCATTTAGTAATCATGTGGTATAAGAATTAAAAGTAACTGACAATTTGGTTTGTTAATTATTTCCAAACTAAGTAAATAATCGAAATAACGTTATGAAGAATGTACCAACTAATAATCAAATCTTATAATCTACCTTGCATTTTTTACAAGTTTTAATAAAATTGTATTAGAAGGGAATTTGTGGAGATTTCAGTATTTCCATAGTTGAAATCATGAGTCAATTGAAGCTAGACCACCATGGAAAACCTGAAAGCACAGGGCGGCCGTTTCGTTCTCTTGTGAGACTCCTCAGCAGTGCTCATCCAGGTGTGCTTCCAGGTTTTTCATGGTGGTCTAGCTTCAATTGACTAATGATTTCAACTATGGAAATACTGAAATCTCCCCAAAATCCCTTCTGATCTATAATATGCTCACTAGTGACTGGCTTCAAGGGATGTTTCCTTGAGTTCTAGCGGGAAGCAGTGACCAGTGGAGTTCAACCAAGTCTGTTGTGAGATATCAACTCACTGAAGACAATTGGTGAATGGTCGCTCAAACTTCGTGGATTGGTTGAAGTTAGACATTAACACCATCGGATGCCGGCCGACTCAGTGGTCCATCGGTTAAGTGCTCTGGCGCGAGACTGGTAGGTCCTGGGTTCGAATCTCTCTCGCGAGGCGGGATCATGGATGCGCACTGCTGAGGAGTTCCACAATAGAACGAAACGGCCTTCCAGTGCTTCCAGGTTTTCCATGGTAGTCTAGCTTCAATTGACTCATGATTTCAACTATGAAAATTGTATTATCCAATAGTTTTGAAGATTTTAGAATTTATCAACAAGAAATATCGTCAGTTTTCTGATAGTGAATATCGTTTTATATACTTTCAATTAAATTATTCAACATCGCAGACAAATACAATACTAAAGAGTTTAATATGGTTTATATATAGAGAGTTAGATCACTTCCTTCTGTAAAAAGAACCTTATTATAATATTATCTAGCTAATATCAATTCGATATTTATTCGAAACCCTATACTTGATTTTCAGTTACAACTTATGTGATAAACAAAATATAGTACCCTTTTGTTTGAACAGATTTAGGAAGGGAATCAGAGTCCAAGTTCACCCAAGTTCATATTCTGTCAAATCATGAGTAGAGCTAACAATTATTTCGCAGCTTTATTAGATAAAATGAATTTCGAATACGTAACTGAAAAGTACCTGAACTATTGAATTAAAATTTCATCAGAGAAGAAATATTGATGAACTCTCTTGTTGTAAGTGGTGAAACAATCCACATGTTATTAGCAAATCAAAAAGTTTAGGATGACATCTCTTACAGGTAAAAAGCTGTTTTGTATCACATGGTGACTGTAATTACTAGGGTAGTCCTACGCTAACTGCACTATCTAATGTCAAATTTTAAACCGCCTCTCGTTTTATTTAGGGTTTCATTTAAAAATCCCCCACAATTTGTTTATTGAACTCTTTAGCTTTGCATTGTTCATTGTATAACTAAAACTAATTATTACCAATTTATAATAGTCAACTCTAAAATACCAAAATAAATGTTTGGACTTATATAAAGACAAGGTTAAAGATAATGATATATAATTTTATTCTATATAAAATGGTTCAGACAATATTATGCAATAGTTTTGACGCAATGGAACAAAATATGTAATTAAAACCCTGAAATCTAGTTTTAGCTGCTAGATTGCATGAAATTAAAAGTTCACCTGTTTTGATGTGTAATTGTGAATAGTTAGTGCAAATAGTGCAAATAACTAATCAACTACATACTATTGGGATGTGTACTACGGCATAAAGCTACAATATGGTTCCTAAAACTGCTTAATTACTGATCATATTTTCTGTTACAATATTTATGCAGCAGGAAATACAAAATAATAAATAGCAATCAGATCATCTTATATTGTAAATAACGAATTACTAAATGATACCACTAACTTGCTTCGGAGACTATGAGATTGTAAATGGATAAGCAATCAAACTTAATCTCATTTTATTCAGATTTAGAGAAATTGCTCGTTTGCTTGTACGCTGATAAATAGAAGAAACCGTAAGAAAGAGAGGCTGATACAAGTTTCGTATGTTAGAAATTTGCACGCTAAGTTGCAATATAATACGGATTCCAGGTTATGAATCGTATCATGTCCCAATACCAAAGGACCTCATAGCAACTTGTAAGTAGAAGTTCAGTGCTCTGTTTAAAAAAAACACAAACAAGATTCCTATACTATTTAAGTGCCATTTCAATTCGATTACACAGCCTATTAAGAGATCACGTGAGATGATTAGTGTTGATACAAAAAGTCGCGATCTAACACTTTTCATTCAGACTGAAATCTGAGTAATGGGCTGTGGGGGGAATTACAAGGTTTAAGATAGCACTTAGTGTATAAGATACTGACACATTAAACACTCAACATAATAAAAGCTTACCAAAGTTTTTTTTAAATATATAAGGATAAGAAATTAACTGACAGAAAATTTTATATGGACAATAAACATGAGTGTGCGGATATTCTGTGTCTTTCATGTTTCTGCAAAACTCACCGATAATCCGTAACATTTTTAGTACACCCGAGTTACTCAAGTACTCAGTTACCACTTATCTTTTCCATTGAAAATTTATCTCATATAAGATCACTTGTGAGAATTCATCAAAAATGTGAAATATATACTAAACAATCAGATCTCAGTGTTAGCTTTGCCCTTAAGATAACTCGCCATAATATATGCATTGCGTCATAAGAAAACACAGATCAATGGATGAAAAATGACCAGAAAAATCATATCAGGATGGTAACAGCTAAGGCATAGGAGAATTTTTTATTTATCACGGTAAAAAAATATCGAAGGAAGAGTGTTGAACATACCCACACTTGAAATATCTTCTTCGTTGATCACTTCACCATTAATATCGACCAATTGCCAGGCTTTCATCATGATTACAAGTGATAAATAATTGTTTCTTCAAAATAGGATGAATATATTTTACCTAAAAGCATGATAAATTTAATTATTCATATTTATCAAATAAGGCGACCAAAAACTAATTAAATATGTTTAAAAAGTGTGCACCTATATCTTAAGCATAGAAAAACGGAAACAAATGAGGTTTGCGCAATGATCTACGTTACATAAGGACATCGTCAGGAAACTAACAAAAAGATAAATAGAAGAGTTCAATAATATCAACTGTATAAGAATATTTGCACCATAAATATTGTTCAAAATCAAAGATTGAGACAAAAGAATGGAAAGTACGGAACGACCCAAAAGTTAAGATCAGGAGGGGATAAATAGTATATCTATCTGTATTATTACTACTACTAATACCAAAATTGATTTTGGACCATATCACGCAGCATTTATTACGACTATCACAAAACTTCCAACGACAAAGTCTGTGTTAACAACATAATAATAGTCAGTGATTATGTGGATTGATCGCATGTATCGGTCTGGCCGTCGCTACCCTTTTTCCAACCTGCTTCTATGTAAAAGAGTATTTCGAAACAAAGTGAGTTGTAGACAACAGTGCAGCTCGCATGTTACAGCTTAATTTCAACTTAGTTTGTAATCGGTTATGGCTCCACAGGTTTATGACAGGTTGGTTATTAGTTTTTGAACGCATACTTACAAGGCGTTTACATATAGTGAAAGTATCGAGTGATCAACCTAGGATAGGGGAATATCCTTGCAGCAAAAGACAGGACGTACAAATAAAATAGATGTAATTGAAACGAAACCTGTAAAAAGTGATTTGTCCCAAGGAACGGTATTTTCTCACTTATTGCCCCAAATACATGTCGATGAATTGTTAAAACTGCCTAGACTGTCTGTATTCTTAATTTTATATTCAAAAATTTGGGCGATAATACGTAGAAAAACTAATAGGTCGGAGCCTTTAGCTCAATCAGTTATTATCAATATAAAAGCTCGGATGGATGTGTTGGCCTGTTTTCAACCCATATATTACTATGACAAGATGAAATTAACACAATAAACAGCAAAGTTAAAATAATGTACTAGTAGTGATAATGATAAATGTCGAAAATTGAGAATACATCCCCAAAGGATAGATTCAGAATGCATATTTAAAGAAATAGTGGAATTTAAGATTGAGAGAACGATAAAGACAAAATGCAGCTGCGCTAATGTGAAAGACTTTTGGCAATACTATTCCAAGTCTCGAGTAGAGAATTATTCTGATTTAAATTAACTGGTTAGGTTGTTGATGATTCGATTTTTACAAGCTAATTATAGACAGGTTATACATACTAACATCTGTCATCAATGCATCACACATGGGAAACTACTGTCATGTGTTTTAGAAAGAAGCGAGTGGAGAGTAATCTCAAGATATGGCTCGAAAAAGACAGCATAATACAATTTAGCGACTAATTTGGTGTTTCATTTGATTTAATCATTTCATAGAGCCTATAAATATTTGAGCACATATATGGTAGTAATTATACACTCTACATACGTGAAACTTTATCAATACAACTTCAACCATGCATCTAGTCCATAGTTCATTCAAGTCGAATAGTTCATAGCTTAAGTATTACATCCGTGGTAGGACATGTGAACGTCTCCTACAAAGAGAGATTTGGATTCCAAGATAGTCTTTGTGTTGTCGAAGAATATAAAGCGATTCACTACAATGATTTGAATGCTACGATTTCCAAAACTCCCCTTTATCTAGAACTACTCAACTGTGAAGCAGCCGTAATGGGTCTGCAAACTATTATCGAACTAACGTAGGCTGTGACTTCATTTTTCCTTCTGAGTGGTCAACAACTGAGAAGCTATAACATAAAAAGGTAAAATCTCTGACTGGTGAATCCTTTAGAGAGAAAATTAGATGAACACAAAAATACTAGCTGTAAGGGTCAAAACAAGTTAATAGACCTATCATCCACATAAGAAGAGACTGAGCGTACTCTGCAATAAACTCTTGAAACGAGAAAATATTATTCTTAGCATTGTAAAAAGTGTTTTTGGAGTATTCTGCAGCTTTGATTCTTTATTTATTAAAGATCCCTTGATATCTACGCCAAAGAACGACTGGCATATCTCTCAAAGGAAAAATATGACTTGCTGCCAAATGACGGTTATGACACGTTATATTCGGAAAAAAGGATCATCGTGCTTAAAACAAAATCTTCTTCGCAAGTTTCAGTTTTAGTTTGGGAAGTACAGGAGGCTTGATGGACTGAGTAAGTCCTGAGAATGCGACCATCATGGTCTCTCAGTTGATGGAGTTAAGTCGGAAATAACTTTAGGGGAGACTTTAGGCACCGGAACACAAAACAACATGATAAAAATAGGTCACCTGCTTCATGAAAGAAACATTTCTCCGGATCAAAATAAGGAGAGGTATTACAGATAATAGAAATGTACATTGTTTTATCACCAAGTTTACAAAATATTATCTTACGTAACTAGAAACAGAAAGAAACCAATAAAAGCAAGATGAACCTTGCGTCTCAGATTCTGTGTAACATGAGTTGAAAACTGGGAAATGTATGAATAAACTCACAAAGAAGGGTTCTAATAGAAAATTTCTGTGACCTTGAATCAGCTGTATCAAACTCGAATACGATTGGTCACTATTTTGAAATTATGGCTATGGTAAATTTTAGATACTACATAAAAACAAAATACATCGTAACAAAGAAATAATCATCAGTGTCAATTTGAAAGTAGTCATGAGTTTTTAATCACTCAAGGTTGATTCTATATTCTTTAAGCATATTGATGATTTGAGATTATTCAAAAATGTGAAGTCAGTAACTTAATGTAGAAGCGGTGTTTGTCATGCTTATACTGAATATTTACGAACAAGGAATTCCTTATTGAAAAGTGGAAAGGATTCATTATTCCGACTCTTTCTGAAGTTCGAATTACTTCATTGTCATTTTTCTTCGAATCATAGGTGGCTGATTCCAATTCATACCTTTCTTTATGACCATTAATCTGTTTTCAGTTGCTTCATTACACAATCATCTGACGTTTGCAAACTCAATGAGTTCTGATCACTACTTCAAGGTTCTGGAATTTTCTCTCCCAAACTAATTTTATCCGAAACAAAATTTTTATGACCTTATCAACCCTATTGACATCTTCGCCAAATCATGATACATATATTCAACTTTAATTACCTTCCTATATGTATGTCAATATCCGTAACTACGTTGATTATCAAATATTTGAGGTTGCAAGCAGATGATGGGAACCTAACTAAATAGAATGAATTCATTTCCTTCAACACCAATCATCAATATTTCTCACTTTAAAATGTATAGATAAATGAACTCCACCAGAACGATGAGAAAATTCTTATGCTTAACGGCCTCCACATTGTACAGGTTCAGAGAAAAATGATCCCCAAAGAAATCTGAGTGATAAGAGGAAACCCTTCACGAAATTAAAAGTGAGATTAACAGATGTCCACAGCCTACAAAATGAGACAGCAAAGATCAAGACTATGATGGACATAGAAAATCCCAATGTCATTGCCGTCTCAGAGACATGACCAACGTCAAATGTGTAAGATAGTGAAATTCAGTTGTTCGTTTTCGCCCAGTTGGACTGATGGATGAAACCATAGGTGAAGTGAGTTTATACCGCACACGAAAACTACCTTAACCATTCGAGCTGTTGAGACAGTGCTACATGATTCAGGGACATGAGAACTGGTACACCGCATGCTGAAATACAAACGGCAAGATATTGAATTGGTTGTAGTATACCTCTGTCTAAGATGTGTAGTAGATGACTTCCTCCAATGAAAACTTGAATCTCCGTGTAACAGGAGTAAAAGCCTTATAGCAGGCGACATTGGTGCACCATATATAAAATGAGTAAACTTAGACGTAGGGTCATCAATAACAGTATTTGACTGCAAATTACTAGAAACCATAATGGCCCTAAATTTATTCCAGCACATTAGAGATCCCACCAGCTATGAACTACTAAACTCCTCATTTATCTTGGGCCTAATCTTCACACAAAGTGATGATGTCTGTCAGACAACTTTTCCCTAGACATGGGATGGTCTATCAAATGGTCGCATCGTCCCGTCCTAAGATATAAAAGGCAGATATGAAGGGGATCAACTCTGCAGCATCGACTGAAAACTGAGCAATCGAATCAGGGGCTTCAGCAGAAAAGGTATGAACTCATTTCAGATAGTTATATAATCAAGAAACTCGAACATTTATACCCTGGACAATTCAAAAGAATAAAAAGCATATCATCCTTGGATCGACCAGGATATTAGACATTTACTAAGGCGAATGGAGAAATATTGGAACGTTGAAATCAGTATTGGCATACCAAGTGCGACCCAACGCTACAAGTCGGTAAGAAATAAGTGTATAATTGAAATTCGGGAATCTTAGAGAGAATATGAGATGAAGTTGTCACAATCTGCAATCAAACAGCCTAAGAGACTAGTCTGGTACATAAATTACAGAACAAGGACGCAATATTGGTTCTCGACCTTTTTATGGGAGGGGATGGATCTCACATGATAGAGAATGATCACAAAAAAGCACAGGCTATGGCAAACTAATTAGGGACAGTTTTCACTCAGGAGCATCTTCTAGACGAAGAAATAGACCCAAATACGCAGCCAAAAAGCCGTCTGCTCACCGTGGACTCTAAAAGAGACGATGTACTTACAGCCCTTAGTACCTAAGACACGGAAAAGTCAACAGGACCGAATGAATCACATTTAAAAATGTCGAGACGAATAGCCCTCATTAACTGTGATACTCATTATGTTAATTGACCAAGGTGTGTTATCTACGGACTGGAAAGATACAATGGACACTCCAATACATAAAACAGGATCAAGTTAACTTCCGTCGGAACACAGACCTGTCAGCCTCACCAATGTCGTAGCTAAAATACTGGAAAGAGTGAACAAAATG